GTATATTATTAATTTGAATTGCAGAAAGGTGTACACGTACGTTGCTTAATGCTCGAATTCAAATGTTGGATCTGTACAAACATGTAAGTAATTTGTAATAATACACATATTCCTTTAAACATATTATCAGTATCTTATTATATAATGCCGATTAATTTGTATTGTTGCATCATCAGTTTTCATTGATTCGGAGAAGTTGTTATCGCTTTTATTATTGTTTCACGATTATAATTAAGATCACCGTGATTGGGGCATTCCACATCAACAGGGCACGCGATTTGGAATAATTGTTGTCAATTCAACATTCCATGTATGCTCGATAGTTTCTTTCGCTGTAATAAAACTTCTATCTTAGATTTTAGGTTTCTGTGAAGTATTACGATATTTACCTTTGAGATAAAATTATGACGTCATTGCCGTGTGCGTTGTATACACTGATTTTGGAAGGATTTCCGGTTAATTGAAAACCTAAAATTTAAAATAGAAATTCTCGCGTGAAAGAATGAAATTTATATGATGACGTAAAAAAAAATGTAATTAGTGTTTCATTGATGTCGATTGCCTCGAAATTTCAAGAGAATGGTTAGTCATGTTTTATAATTGAACAGTTTGGTGGAAAAGGTTGACGTGTATTCGAGAGCTCTAGACATATTATATACTTTTAAGAACAGAACAGAACAGAGGTTTACGGATACATTTTGTAACGTTGATAATACTTTTACCCTCAATCCCTGATTTCACTTCACTCGTATTGTCAATCATAAGCGGCTAAATTGAACGAGACTTGCGGGCACATCAGCTATAATAAAACGTATTGTGATTTAAATTCAATAGCTTTTAATTGAAAATAGGCGTTTCTTAATCATACAATTGCTAGACATGATTTACACATTGGTCTTGTTACGATTAAGAAATTTTTCTACACTTGTAAAACTGTGATTGTCTATGGTCGTATACAAACTACTCTAGATATACCATGAACTTCGTTAAAATATTGGTGTTATGCCACCATGATTTTATTTATATCTGTGGTTATCTATAATGTGTGTACATAAGCAGTGTGAATGTATATCCTAAGAATATATTTGCCTCCTTTTCAGTGTTCGATTACTTTATTTGAAAAATATTCTCTACTATGCTCCTTCTTTCAAATTTCAAATTTTTATTCATCTCTGTATAAGAACAGACACAATGGAATTCTATTTCCTCTCCTCCCTCTCTTTTTCTCTTTCTCTCTCTATCTCTCTCTTTCTCTTTCTCTTTCTCTTTCTCTTTCTCTTAATGATTTGATTATAAGACTTAAAATAAATAAAAGTACTAATTAGAACAAGCTGTTGGTACATTCTTCGCAACTTCCACCTCTTCCACCTAGCTCATCAATTATTTTAATATGTTGATTTCAAATTGATTCTTTGTTAAATCGCAGAATATTTATTATAGTATGCCAAAAGTGGAATCTACGAATCTGTATCAGATGCGGAATTTATCGGTGGATTTAAAAGAAATGAAAGAAAAATTAGTATAAAGATGAAGAACTTAATAAAGGAATGAAAAAATGTTGTAATTGAAAATTATATTAATTATGGGGTTCGAATGTCAAAATGATGAAGATCACGTAAAAAGCATCATGTTTTTATTTTCATTTATATCTTTATTTATCAATATAGAGTTTTAATATTTAAATGAACAGGTTTTACCCTTTCTTACTCAAACTGAATAAAAAATAAAGTCCTGTAAAAGCGGTTCTTAATTGAGCACATTTTACATATAGAATATGTTAATTCTGCCTGATCCTTTCCTGTCTCATTTTGGAATGATCATGTACAAAATACACCTTTGTTTCAATACGTGTATATATAAGCATACTCATAAAATAGAGATCATAAGGTAAGTTCAATACTTCGGTTGTTGATCTAAATTAAAAATGGTGTATTATGAATGATTACATGCTTATTATTTTTTTAGATGATCTACTTACTATGTAATTGTTTAGAAATTAAACACCGTATTGAGTTTTGCAACGATACTAAGAATATTTGGAGTACCATTGATTTCTGCAATACTTGACATTTAATTAAGCTTAATATTTCACCCCTAAAATTTGAAACATTCTAATGAATTTATTCAGCATTAAATTAATGGAAGTATTATTTGAATTTCTTAATATTTAATGTATTAATGTTACATCAGAGTTCGAGAATTACATATATGCAAAGTAGTACCATCAATTGTAATTACATAGGAGATTATCATCAAGTTACAAATTCATGTTTTACATTAAAAGGTAGATGTAAATTTTCAACACAACGTTACAGAGATATATAGTTCCCAAAATTAACATCAAAATGCGTTTACAGTGTCAGCATGATTTTCAAAAATCATACAAATTTATGTACATTCATGATGATCATTTCATGCTTACAAGCTTAATCGATACTAGTTCAAAGTTGCCTGTAAATTAGAAAATTAAAATTACTATAATTTAGTATTTAATGTAAATGCAACATTCTAGAACCGTGAGTCCAGAGATAATAAATTGAAAATCGTTTTAAAAAACATTAAAACGAACAGTTAAATGTGCTGCTTCTTCAAGCCTTTTAAAAATCGTACGAAATGTAATTGCGTAACGATTTTCGACACACATAGTATACAATATCATACAGTTAGTTTATTATACTTTACTTTGCTCTGAAAAGTTTGTTAATCCATTTTATAAACATTACAATTTGCATATATTTATATCATTGTTGGTAATCAACCAATACTGTACACATGTATCTCAACTTGTTTGTCACGTAACAGATAAGTCTATGTTGGCTTGAATTAAATTAGCTGACGGGTGGCACGCATTGTGGTGAGTAGAGCTAGTCATTCATGGTTATTCGTTAGAAGAGGGTGACTCCCGCCTTTTTTCTGCATGTTTCTTTGTAAATTCTTCTGCATTCTTTAAAAACTTTTTCCTATCGTTAAGAAATTCTTCTGCCAGATCTACCCTTAAGGCATGTTCTGGTTCTGGATCATTCACTACAGCTATCAAAGCTTGTACAACTGTAAACAAAATTTAACAATTATTTTTACTCCTTCGTTCTAACAATACTACAGATTAAAATACAATTTCACCTTGGTCTGTTCTTGTAGCTGGTTTCCAATTTTCAGCATGTATAATAGGTAAGCAGATATTTCCACCTTCGTCTACATTAGGATGATATATTTTAGTTTTAAAGTTTATTCTTGGAGGTTTAAAAGGATACTCTGCAGGAAAGTTAATTTCAATGCGAAAAGCTCCTTTATTATACGGTGGATTGTCCTAAAACATTCGAAACTATTAAATACATTGATTTATATCATTGACAAATTTTCTTGTGCAATATAACAGTTTCCAATATCTTCTAAATGGAAATATGCATTGTAGAAAATATTTTTAAGTAACATCTAATAAATGAAAGTTACAATAAAGTATGGTATATAATTTATTTTCTTCTTTGTTTATGTAGATTACTCATTCAGGTAATAAATTTCTATGTGAATCTTCTTCTAAAAAATTAGTCTATTAAAATATGAATTTACATAAATGTTCATAAATTTCAGCTAACTATAGTTGCCTCTTCAAGCAAGACAAGGTTAGGTTATGTTTCCAGATTAGAAGGGTTACGCCAAAACGTACCGGCAATATAAGGCCCTGCCAAGTGAGAATATTGGATTCATCTACTTGAATATTTATAAAATTTTTCATAGGCGAAGCTCTTAGGTCACCGAGTTCCTAAAAAGAGGAAATGTAATCATCATTTGTAAGTTTCATGAAAACTGAGAATCGTAACGCGAACACCAGTTTTAAAATAAATAACGAAAAGTTCATCATTGGTTTCAGATGGGACATAAATATCTACTATAGGAATCGAAACCATAAAACATTCATAAATCATTGATAAAATATATTAACGTTCCACATTTCATTGGAAAAATTCAATGTCATCCATAGCAGAGATTATATCGCAATTCAATTAAACAGACATGGACAAGCATGCCACAGTTTCAAATGATATTTTCGAACGTTTCACACACATTTAATTCCACCTGCGAACTCTTCGATTGACCGAAACTTTGAATTACCTTTTGCAATCTTCTCGTAGCTGCCATTTTGAAAATAAATTCCACTAAAAAACTAGCAAAACTTGTCAAGCCCCTCACCGACGACTTCACAACTACATATATCCACCCTCTAAAATTCCCCAGCGTTTCTATAGAGAAAAGCTCCCGAACTAAAGTTTCTGTAAAGTTTCGTTGATCGGTTCTCTTTTTCGTAGCTCGTATCGACACGAATATAGATGGAAATTTAGAATTGATTATGTGAGAATATGAATCGCTATCCGTTTATCCGTTTTGTTGCAAGTTAGCGCGCGTGCGCACATAATTCATGCGACTGTGTGCACGGTTGGATTAACGTTTCAATCAAAAGTACCACGGACGTTCGCAAGAAGCGCTACTTAAAAAAAAATCAAATTTGTGAATCAATGGAAATAAGCGAAATTTTAGACATTGGATTGTACATCTACTTTTCCGACATTGATCATTGTCAATAAATGGAAGTAGTCGATAAGTGATCGAGATCGTTATCAGTTTCAAACTCAATGAATGTACTTACACGTATCTTATTTATTTAATAAATAGCCTAATTTTCTTCGATAGAAAACATATAATTATACAAGGAATTCAAAATTTCGCACAATGTCAAGTGAAAATATGAACTTACCGAAAGCTCCTAAGGATCTATGTTTCACAGAGTTAGATTTCATCCAAGTGAGTCACTAATGTTGTGAGTGTTAAGTTCTTGAAGATATTTAAGTTTAATATTCTATAATTTCAGGAAAATTTCAATGTCGATACATTCCTTCAAGAACGCAAAAAGAAATCAAAGCTAGAAACAATGCGGGACGATCTGGGAATATATTTGAAATTGCTAAGATCTGCCATGATCGACTTAATCAACAGAGATTACATTGATTTTGTAAATTTATCAAGTAATTTAATTGGATTAGACAAAGCTATTAATGATCTGCAAGCGCCATTAGGTCAATTAAAAGAAGAAGTAATGGTAAACGATTAAAGAAGTTATAACGGTAATTATAGTAATAAACATATTTATGTATTATTTTAATAACATTTTATCTTTCCTGTAATAGCAAGTACAACAAACTTTGGACAACGAGATCAATGCAATTTCCATTAATATTAATGAGAGCAAAAAGATAAGGGAGCACAAGCAAAGTTTATATAGTTTACAATATATTTTCAAATCATTAAATAAACTTTCATCAGTATTATCGTTGAACACGTTTCTGGAAAGTCCTGCTAAAATAGATATTTTAGAGCAAGCTGCAACAGAATTTAATCAGTTACAATTTCACATGTCCAGGTGTAAATTAGATATTATCGAAGACAAACAAAAAGTACGTATTAAGTAAATTTGAATCAATTTATTTTTGTTTATAAGTATTTACTTAAAAAGGATTAAATGTCTTCAGGAATATAAACAACTGGATCAGCATTATATGACTCATCTAAATGAATTTTTCTTAGCATGTATTCAAGAGAAAAATTCTGTCCTATTAATTCGTTGCTTGAGAATATATATTATGCTGGATAAAGTAAATGATGCGGAGAATTTAGTAAGGGATGAAATTGTTAGTCCATTAGTGGATAATGTGATCAATATGGAAAACCTGCAAGTAGACTCGCTTGGCCTACAAAGTATATATAACAGATTGTTAAACATTCTGAGTGTGGAACTGAAACAACTTTTAGATATTACGTTGCATCCTAACAGGTACGTGTTTTATGTTTTACAAAGAGATATTTTCTATATTTGTCTCATATAGGCAAATTTTTCCAATCTTATTTCAGATGCTCTGTTAAAGGCTTTAACTTTTTAGTAAACAGTTTTTGGATTAATGTAGAAGAGAAAATTGAGCAACATATAAAATGTATTTTTGCCCCAGGAGATCCAATATTATTCCATTCTGTAAGTGCATTAATAAAATTAAATTTTTATTACCTTATTAACACATAAAATTTTAATGTTACACAATTCCAGAGATATGTGGCAACATTAGAATTTCTGGAGAAATTAGAAGCTGAATTTGTTACATCTGATTCTTTAACTGCATTAAAGGAAAATGTACAGTATAAGAATTTTTTGAAGAAATGGAATTTACCAGTATATTTTCAAATACGATTTCAAGAAATAGCTACCAATATTGAAACTGTCTTAATAGAACCCATATCACCTGCATCGATAAAAGGAACTTTGGAATCTCTTACAAGAAATGAATTTTCCTTGCATGCGACGTACATCGTGTGGGAAAATTTGCAAAGAATCTGGACCGATGATGTATATCTTTATCAGCTTTTTCATAAGTAAATCACGAAATTTATTGTAAAAGTAGTAACTTTTATCAAAATAATTATAATAATGGCTTGTTGTCTTGTATCTAGATTCTGGAAATTCAATTTGCAGATATGTGCAAGATACCAAACATGGTCCATGGCAGTACTTAAAGAAGTATAATATTTAAACATTTTTCAAATCTTGTAACACATTGAAGTAAATATCACTAATTCATCCTTTAAATGTAGGTGTGGCCTATTGAAAATGAAGTAGGATCTCTGAGTAAATCTGAGCATTCCACAAAACTTAATTTTTTGATATATTTGAATCATGATCTACAGAAACTGGTAGAAATGCTTCCATCCCATTTAAAAATGGTTTCAGCGAAACTTAAACACCAAACTCCAACGATATTAAAGTTATTAGAAGGTAATAATATCGAATATTAATACTATTATCGTTATTTAACTGTATATATATCGTTTTATAGATTCTCTGTATGAAACCATAACAAAATTCGAAACAATTTTTTCGCAAATCACAGAAGAAATTGTGAATGAATTTTTGAAACAATGTGTAACGCATTTGAAGCAAGTAAGTGATATACCAAGATTATTTAGGCGAACAAATAGGGATGTATCAACAAAACCATGTGCTTATGTAAAGAACGCACTCGCTTTTCTTGTAAACTTTCATGCAGACTACAAGAAATTGATCCCCAATAATGTTAATTATTGGTTGGAATTGACTCTTTCTTCCTTGACTGAACAGTAAGGAATACATAATAGATAACGATATCAGATATTAAAATATTTATTCCATTTAATACCGATTTACAATCAGTTTTTTTATTCTTACAGCTACTTGGCGTCTGTAACAGACGTTTTAACGTCAGTTCAAAAGACTGAAGAGAGTCTACGAAGATTGAAAAAAATACGCGATAAATCCACAGGTACTCTTTCTTCTGAAGTTCAAGGAGTTAGTGATGATGAAAAAATACGTATTCAATTGCAAGTTGATGTACAAGCTTATATCAATATGGTAAGATTTATTACAAAGATTTATTCTGTTTTAACAAAGAGTTTTTTTACATTATTTATATTTTAGATTGCTGAAATCGAAATTGCAACTTCAAATGTGCGCTACGTGGAAGAACTGTTACATACTGTTGAAGCAGCGACTAAAAGATAATATTTTTTCCTTCTCCCTTTTAGATTTGTTTATAAATATTTGAAACAAGTTTTCACAGTCTTCGTTGATGCTACTTCTTTACTGTTGTTAAATGTACTTATTTAATGTACATACTTTGTACATAATATTCGCAATGAAAAAATTAGCTTATTCTTTATTTAATATTAAATCCTTTTTTTGTTATTTATCCTCTTTTAAGTGATTACAAATAACTTAAAAAAAAATACAAATATTCAAATAAAAATTTACGTAACAGACATTTAATATATTATTTACACGAACATGGTATTATACAAAACGTATGGTACGTTCTATTCTCTTCAGCAGAAGATACAGTATTTGTTTATGTTAAGTTCTCATCCCAAAAATCACTGTACGGTAATTCAATGGTAGTAAGCTTATCTTCATGGGGATAGGATGGATGCCACCAGTTCAGAACTTGCCACTTGACGACATCATTTAATATCACTTGGTGCGTTAATGTATTAGGAACATCGGATGTTCCAAAACCCAACTGTAATCTGTTATTTTTAAAACCTTGCATTAAAGTCACTGATACCTTTTGTAAAATCAGTCCGGTTACTGGTGGTAACAGACTATACCTTGAACAAGCTACCTATAAATTAATAAGATAAATAGCTAAAACATAATAGTTATGTGCCACATACAACTGACATATATTGTGTTAAGTACCCTAAGTAGTTTACAACCCTCTTCCGGATTTACAGCTACATCTTCCAACATTTCAAGAAATTCTGTCTTTCTACCATTTACTTTAGGTTTCTCTTTTATTGAGTTCCTGGTCGATTTTGGTACTTCTTTTAATTTAAAATAAAAATAGCACAACAATTTTCCTTTCTAAAACAAGTTACCCAATTAAAAATATTATTACTAGTAGCATCAGTATTATTATTATCATTGCCATTATATAAAAAAATACTAATAAAAATGCTTAAAATAATAAGATTTAGTAGAAATATGATGTGTACATTTTCATTGCTCACTTTGTGCCACATAAGACAACATTTCCTTTTTACAAGAGAATGAGGCTCATCTTGTTCGAAGGAGTGGAATAATGGAAGTCGAATAGAACTATCTACATCTCTTTTCGAAGCAAAATAAGTATGATGCAATGTCCTAATAACACAAGCACGTAATCCGTGCATGCGAACCATAAAATGTGGCTTAAGACGTTCTGGTAAACCAGGTACAGGTTTATAATAACTGTAATTACGATTTATTTAGAATAACGTTATTGAATTAATATATAAAACAATATTTCATTTATACAATAAAACACTCACGTTTTATATAAGTGGAGCCAAAATTTGCCAGTTGTAGTTACGTGATAAGAACTTTTACATATTCGAGCAAATTTACCTACAGCCTCTGGACTTATATATTCAGATATAATGAACCATACGTCCAATGGATAATCTATACCTATCAAATAATTAAAAAATAATTTACCTTGTCACAGTTTTTCATCTTTTTCTTTCATTCACATTTTACCTTCTTCTTCCTCCATTTGGGACGGTTTAGACGCTGTTCCTTCTATGTATTTTGTTTGACTCATCAACGTACCTAGCGAATAAATGTCAATGCGAGATAAAAAATATAAATAAAATGATAAATGTCTTCGAAGCAAATTACCTTTACTGCTTTTCTTGGAGTTATCTGTATCGGGTGAATGTGTTTCATTCCATACTTTGTCTTCTGTTATTTCCTTATGTTGCACTGTAAAGTATACGAAATACATATGGTGCAAATATTCGATTCAAAAGGACCTATGTACTACAGATTTAATAATGATTTAAAGATAACCTTCTGACGATACATTAATCGCGGCCTTTTTAAGTCTTGCATGGGTCCGCGATGAATTGGCGAAATCGTCAATAGTTACGTCTGTGGGAGTATGAGAATGAAACAATTGTTAGTAAATATGTTGTTATAAACAATATTGTTTCAAGTACGTAAATTAACCTCCGATAAAATTCTTTCCACTCCCGGTACTGGTCTTTCTATAGGACTTTTTTCGTGATATAGACATGTCGTTGAATGCTATGTGAATCTATATTTAATAATCAATTAGGAACCAATTTGCAACGAAATATAACGTAAAATTTACAAGTATTTACATCAACAATAAATGACACTATGATCGCCTATCATACTTCTTTTAAAGTCGATAGGGCAAATGCACTTGTCAATGCTCAGGTGTGTTGTATATACTTACTACATAGTATGTTGTGTTTCATACGAATTTCACATTATATCTAACTGAATTTTTCATTTTAATAAATTATCCCATGTCTTTATGAATGTTCAATAAACCACATAAACTTGTAACAATTGAGAAGCGTACTATAATATTGGAAAGAATTAATGACTTCTTAAAAACACTAGTCAATTGACGAAACACGTGTGGTGTAGTTCATAGGTTAGTGTAAACTTTGTATCTTTTAAAAAATTCGTGTTATTATTATTTTATTTTATTATTAAACTAATGATGTTTATTAAACTAAGAAAAATATTTTTATTAATCATAAGGGTATCTTACATTATTTTATATAAAATTATACTTTAAAAATCAGTTAAATTTGAACTATCCGCATTTCTTTATATTAAAATGTTACAGAATTATTTTTCAAAATGAGTTCTGGCGAAGAAGAGCGTGATGTCTTCATTTTTCTACAGCAACAAAACTGTTGCTTAAGGTGCTGTTTTCGCTTCATTGGGTGGAAAGCATGGAGGGAATGTTATCACAATCCCATAACACTTGCAAAAACTGTAAGTTACATTTATGATAGGTTTTTCATGTTTCTGTGTTATCACAATATTTTTCACAGTTAGGCTATATTACAGAAGATGCTTCCATTATTGATAAAGTACCCTGTGTGGCTTGTCTAGGAATTCTTCAAGACCAAACATTAGATTTAGTCATCCAAAAAGTAAGTTGAAATATTTGATTTCATATAAATTTGAATAGGTTCCGTATAAATTTGAAATAATTTTATAAACAGATACAGACTGAAGTAGAAAAACAAAATTACGACAGTGATACATTTTCATGTGCATTGACAATACCTACATGTGTAAGTCTTAGGGAACGTATATTACATGCGAAATGGATTGATAAATTTTCTCTGATAAAAGATGAATTGCATCAACTTAAAAGGAAACTGGAGACTATAAAGGACATTTGGAAAGCAGTAGTTACTCCTAAATTAGAAAAAGCTGTCAATAAAAAAGTGGATTTAATAACTCCCTCTGCTTTCCTCATTGAGATTATTTTATCATACAAAGAGAATGATAAGGAATGCGAAGCACTGTAAGTCAACAAGGACATTTTGTTTCTTTTATTAAAATTTAGTGCGTATCATTGATAATATTATTTGTTGCAGAGAAAACTTGTGTGTAGGAGCAAACAATACAGGGAAAAAACGAAAGAGAAGAAATAACGACAATAGATTCAGCAGAAAGAGTGTAGAAGCTTTGATAACTAATGTAACAGAAGAAGAATTCAATAAATTTGTCAGAAGTTTTTCACTCAATGTATCTACAAGCATTGATATAGGAAATATTGCATGCTCGCATTCAAGCATTTTTATAGGAGGTAATATATAGTATTAACAATATGGAAATATTATAAATTATGTGTAACCAACTATATTTTCAGGGAGATACAACAAATTGTCTAGAGAAATCAGCCAAACACCGTGGTTTATAAATGGTGAAAAAAAGATGGAAACATCAGTTCAAGATCTATTATGTAATCCTATTGCAGATGCTGTAAAAGCTCAATGTATGTAAATTAATTTATATTATATTTATAGATGTACAAAATACGTAATTTCATGTAATATATAATACGTTTATTTATATGTACATAGCTATTAAATTTTTATCATCTGGAAGAGAGGATGTGGATGTGAGAACTATATACTCTGGAAGACCATTTGCAGTCGAATTGATTAATCCTCGTATGACAAAAATAACAGACGCGTTATTGTCAAACCTAATCCAGAAAATTAATCAGTCCTCTAAACAAGTACAAATCACAACAAATTTGAAAGTCTTGTCTAGACTTGATTTAAAGAAACTAAAGAAAGGAGAAAAGGTTAAAACGAAAATTTATCGAGCAATTTGCATCTGCCGCACTAAGCCGGAAGATATGTTGTCTCTTGAAAAATTAAATAATATGAAAAGAATAGAAATAATTCAGAAAACACCGATTCGAGTGTTACATAGGCGGCCTCTAAGTCCAAGGATACGTGTAATATATGAAATGAGAGCTCGTTGGATGAAACCTCAAGAATCACAGGCATTATTGACAACTGCAAGCGAAGATCCCAGTATGTTTTTCGTGTTGGATATTAAAACGCAAGCTGGTACATACGTTAAGGAATTCGTACATGGAGATTTTGGACGAACCAAACCTAGTTTATGCGATATTCTTAAAGCTGAAGTTGATATAGTTGCATTAGATGTAACAGGTATCAACCTTGATTGGCCTTAAAAATTATATTAGTGCTTCAACCACTTTTGAATATCGTTACAAATTATAATTGTTATGTTTGTATAATAACAGAGGAACATAGTGAATCTACTCGTACACACTAATTTTAATGAATATTTCACAAAAGATAATTTTTAGGAAAATATTTAAAATTATTTTGTTCAATGTAATTAAAACACTTAGTTTATCTAAAGAAGTAGTCATGTTCATTTCCTTATATCTATTATCTGTTATATTATCTATATTGGTATACAATGTATAATCTATGTATTTAAAAAATTGTAGACTTGTTACAGTTATACGAAATACTTTTATAAAATTATTTAGAAGAACAAGATTAAATATTTTTCATGAACGTGCGTCCTTATGTTTTAGAATCCAAAAGTGTTTTTTGACAGCGGCCATAGAAATTCTTTCCGAACTTTTGCGTTTTATTAACTGCAAAGAAATATAAGGTACAATTCACGTGAACATAAGATTATAAATACAATTAGAAAACAAATTATTATATTACCTTTGATATGAGGTCTTTAGCACCAGGCGTTATTTGCGACGGCCATTGTATATTTAACGTCTTTATTTTAGCATAGGTTTCTTGTTGGGAATCACTGAGAAAAGGTGGTTTACCAACTAGAAATTCATAACACAGAATGCCAAGGCACCAATGATCAACATATATATCGTATGTTTGTCCAGTTACCATTTCTGGTGGTAAATAGTCTAATGTTCCACAAAGAGTGTTCCTCCTATAATTACCAATATTCTCATTAGTTCTTTTTCATTCTCTTCCAACATCTTTAATATCAAATATACCCACTTTGATGATGGTGCATGGACAGACCACCCAAAGTCTGCTAACTTTACATCCCCATCATATGTAAGCAACAAATTTTCTGGTTTTATATCTCTGTGAATTACGTTGTTCCTATGACAATATTCTAAAGCATCCGCAACTTGAAAAGTATATTTTGCAGATCTAAGAAATATTATAAGATTAATTTAAAATGTAGCAGAATTTTAAAAATATTAATTTGAAAATACATACAAGTGTTCATTGAATCTTTCATTTGGTTGACGTTTCAGTTCTTTATATAGTTCTCCTCTAGCTGCAAATTCCAATACAAGGTAAATGCGTTTATGATCATGAAAATACGTCAACATTTGAAGAATATGAGGATGCCTAAAAATGAAACATTACAATGTGCTCAAATTTAAAAGAACATATATTATAGCTTCATGTATCACCTCAAATGGGTTTGAATCTCAATTTCACGCATTACTTGTTTCTCCACACGACCCTTCATTAATTCTACTTTGTATAAAGTCTTTAAAGCAACCATATACTGTGTGGTTTTTTCTCTAGCTAAATACACACGTCCAAATTTACCACGACCCAATGGCGAACCAATTTCAAAGTCATTTAAATTCCATTGGTATCTATAAAATAAAATCATAAATTTCTGATGTTTGTTTCTGATATAAGTTTAATATATACCTTGGCCCTCTATTGTCAACGTGTTCTTCCATTTTGTATAAAGTGTCAAGAACAATTTCTTTATAATCAGATGGAATATTCTGAGACAACTTAAAGGCGTCTCTGAGTGCCATGACTTATTATACCCTAGAAAAATTACCTTCTCTTTAGTTTTATATTTGTAATTTTCCACAGGATAGAGATTTATCGTACAAGTAAGGTTCTGGATAATAAGTGGTGTAAAATTTATGTTTTAATTATAAGAAAATAAAATATTTTACCTTTAACACAGGAAGGAATATTAATATAGCTCCTATTCTTTACTTTTGTTTCAATGAAGTTTAAGCAGTTCAATATAAATCTCGTGAAACAGATTTTACGTTGTTACACAGTATAAAAGAATTTCACTTTTTTCTTACTTTAAAATATCTTTCTGCGACAATTGTGAATATTGTACATCTGACAAATTTTAAACACACCAATCAATCGTTATATAGCAGTAAAGAAAATTCTCCGACTCTTTTATTTCCTTGATCCATCCAACTGACATGTTCAATTTAAATCTTTAAAACACTGGACGATTTAAGAGCCATCTGTGGAACTGAGGTATACCTTGTTTATGATTGGAGTGAAACAACACAATGGCGACACTTGCGACCACGTGATGAAACTTTCATTGGTTTATTTTACGCTAGGCAGGTTCACATCTGCCAGAAATAAATCTGAGCCAAAGTCCTTGATAACTGTTCATCCTTGCGAGGGATGTGGCGTTTAAATATTCATACTTCATAAGTGAAAGCATATACATTCCGGTTCTTTCTTAATGAATTATTTAATCGAAACATAAAATAAGTTACAAATGTTAATTACTGCATTTGTTCAATGTACCTATACCGTATTGCTTGTACGGTATACATTTGTATAGTATACTATTGCTTCTATAATTTTGCATTTTTACAATTCATTTCTTTTTCCACTGTCTCATGGCACAACTTGATAGGTCTTTAAGAAGAAGAGGAAAAAATGCGTTTCCAGAAAAGCTAGAATATTTTATTTCGCTCTATTCTTGCCCTAAATTGGAGATAAGATTGCGTTGCAATTATTAAATAGAAAAATTATATTTTAATTGTTATATATCTTCCATAATATTTCATAAATGTTGGCTGTTTTATAAAAATTAATAAATTTGAAGTATAATTACAAAATCATGAATAATTATTGTAAATATACATATATGTATACATATACATATATATAAGTTATTTGTTAATATATTTATATGCATGCGCGCGCGCACGCAATGCTGGGCACAACATTTCACACGAATTCAAATTTTCCTTAGAGTTTCCTGTCTGTGTTTCGCGCTTTTCCATTGATCATCAACCGTAAAATAGTGTCTGCTGATCAATTTTGCTGTTTCCTCCTGAATTTCTAATAGAAATCTACTGAATCGATTTTACGATGGTAATTGTGTTTTATTACATTTTTATTTCTTTTAATTCCACGACGTAATTAGTTAAAGTGTTATTATGCATTTCATCGTGTTTCTGTACTGCTCCTTTAAAAAAAACATTCCATTATATGGTGGCAGACGTTATCAAAGTTAGTTATATATTTTGTTAACAAAATATGTGATTTTTTATTTTTGTTCTTTCAGGGTAACGAAAGCTCATTGCCTATGGAATTATGCTCGAACTGTAAGTCAATATCAAATAACATTTTTGGCCTACTTCAAGTAACCTATTTGATTCGCGCAATTTTTTCTATTTAAATAGTTTAAATTTTTTCAGTTTAGCGTTATCGAGAACGTAACGCGACAATATTTTATCTATTTTGAAGTAAAATTATTATCATGACGTATATAATTTCTAAATTCTTTCCCTTTTCAATTTATTCACTGATATTAATTTATTTTTATCACTAACTAAACATAGCACTCATAAAGTTTCAGTTACTCTAACTATTTGTATTATATTACAATTATATATGCATGTTAATACAAGTTTAGAAATATAAATAATATAGTTGTTATCCAAGTTATCTTATTGAAGAATTTTTTTTAACACAAAATTAATTAATATCTTAGTTGATGTTGACGAAATTAGAAGATTGGGAAAACGATTTCGGAAGTTGGATCTGGATAATAGTGGAGCTTTAAGTATCGATGAATTTATGTCCTTGCCAGAATTACAACAAAATCCCTTAGTTCAACGTGTTATTGATATATTTGATGCAGATGGTAATGGAGAAGTAGACTTTAAAGAATTTATTCATGGTGTTTCACAGTTCAGTGTTAAGGTATATAATACAGATTATTAAACGCATAATGTAAAAATATTAATGATTTGACTCTTATAAAGGCTGTTAAGAAGCTAAAACATATTTCAATGTGTTGGTGACTAACATGTCTTTAAACATGTGTTCCTTTTATTATAGGGTGATAAAGAAAGCAAATTAAGATTCGCTTTTAGAATTTATGATATGGATAACGATGGTTTCATAAGCAATGGAGAATTGTTCCAGGTATTGAAAATGATGGTAGGCAATAATTTGAAAGACACACAACTGCAGCAAATAGTTGATAAAACAATATTATTTGCTGATAAAGATGAGGATGGGAAAATTAGTTTCGAGGAATTCTGTTCTGTAAGTATTCTTTCTGAAGCGATTAAAATTATACATAATAATTTAATAATATGTTTGCAATGTATAATTTTAGGTTGTCGGTAATACAGATATACATAAGAAGATGGTGGTTGATGTTTAAATAATCAAAATGTATAAAAAAAAGTATTAGATATCAATATATGATAATATCAGTTTAACTATAAATTCATTATTAACAACAAATTTTATTGAATAGTTATAAGTAAGAAAACTCTGTATAGGTTGAAGTTATGACCATTACTAAGTCTTTAACCAAGCTAATTTATATATAAGTTTGTCATTGTTGAAATTTTATCTATAGCGCAATATATATACATATATACATATATACATATATGTGTATGTATATATATATATATTAAAATTAATTCACCGCCAACTTCCTAATATCAAGCACACCTGCTATTCTGCATAATTGTAATGTTATATATATTTGTGAACTTTTTGTTAAATTATATATATTTATTTTTTAGTTGAAGTTAACTCAATAATTTTGTTATTATTTGTTTAATTTATATTTTTATTTAATTAATATATAAACATTATCAAGTTGTTTCAGA